GCTCTTAAAGGACGATCGTTTTGACTGTTGACCGTGACACCCTCATCAGAAAAATGTCCAACATGAGAAAAGTGGAGCCGAGTGCAGGATTTTACAACAAAAATTGACTTATTCCTGTTTACAGACAAGTTCATGTTCAAACTTTGTGTTGAAATTGAATTTTTCTTAAAGTTTCAGGTTGTTCATAATATTATAAACATATAATAAGAAAGAGTTCATCAATTAAAAAAGATTTCTGTAATAGATTTGCATTTTTCTGCACAAATATTTGAACTTATTGCTATTTTTGGGGTTTATATGACATGAGTTTTCTGATCCGGCCCCTTTAGGATCAAAGTAGGTTGGATACGGCCCCCGGACCAAAATGAGTTTGACACCCCTGATCTAGATGAAGAAAACAGGGCATTTTTGAGTTACTTTTCACCGGAAGTCGTCATCCGTTATTCCAAACATCTTCTGGTTTTGTGATGTAAGTGTGAATAGAGCCCATTGTTCTTTGTAAGTAACATTTCTTTTTCTTTTACTTTATTTTTAACTTTACATTACTGCATATCATCTCTATACTTGGGGATTCAAAACATGTACAATTTCAAATCATGTAGCCTCAACAAGAACGGCTTTACTAGCTCCTACTTGCATTACTTAGTTTTCCATCTCCCCCTCATATTAACAAACATCTTTTAACTAGACCGTCTTTCACTTTCCCACCTCTCCTCCAATAAACACTGCACCCAATCCCACCTATAAACCCGCCTTATAAACCTGTTTCTGCCTTCACACAAATAAACCCTCACCTTCACCTTACATTTCCGTACTTTAGATACAAAACGATTGGTAATATGTGACACGCTTTCATGTATTTACCAGAGCAAACGCCGTCTCCCTCGTTCTCTCTCCAGATGTCTTCACACCTGCCACGGCTGGTTACGTAAGCTTTAGATCTTAATGCGTCCTTATCGGCCACTCATGAAAAACCCACCGCAATTCACTCAAGTGGAATTACAGCTGTCCTTGCTTCACCTTGTCCTTTTTACTACTCGTTCCCATGTAGTTTATTCGCTGTCATGACTAATTGACATTTATTTTTTACGTATTCTAAGTGCTGATACAACTGAGAGCGTCTGACGGTTTATAATTCTGTATTTACGACGACGCGCAGTGATTCTTTGTCTATATATATTGTCGTATAACCCGACGGCGAAGGCGACTGGCTGTCTGAGGATCTAAGAATATTGAAAAGCCAGGGCCACTTAAGGTATTAACATTTCATTGTGAAGCGGGATCAGTCACAGTCACTCGAGTTAATTTTGTATTCTAGTTGTCACAGCCGGTTACCGTAATGTCGGTGCATGGATGGAAGTGGCCACAAGGTCAAAATGATAAAATATTGGTCTCTGATGTTGAGTTGTTGCGGTCAGAAAGTTGGCAGAGGAGTTAACGTCCTGTGTCCAAGCAAGAAGTTTGTGAGTTTGATTATTTTTTAAGTTTAGTTTACTTTATTTGGCTTTGTTTTGTTTTACATTTTGTTTACATACGTATGAACAAATTATCACTGCCTACCCCCATACTCCTTCCTTTTTTTCCTAATTTTTTGCTATTATCTGCTAGTAATCTGCAAGATTCAAAGACCTACTGAATGTTTTTGATGAGGAAACCCGCCCAGACGTGAGGAGAAACTCACAAACTCTGCACGGTAAAGCCCAGGACTCAAACCAGAACCTTCTAACTCTGAGGCATGAGCACTCGCCAATCATCAGAGAATAATTTAGCTCCATTAAGGGCCCATATTTCACTTTTTTTTTTGTGTGTATGCCATAATATTGTAGCCTGAGCTGGTTTCACTTTGTGGAAACAGTCTGACCTCACATCATTAGGATTCGTTCACTTGACGTTAGGCAGGTACTTTTTTATTTAACCAATCACTGCTATTTGGTCGTGACGTATGTAATGCGCCAAATCCTGTAGGAAGAAGGGAAATAACATCTTTCCACTTGATAAAATTCACCAAACATTCTCTTTGTTCCAGCTTTAAATCCTCGATCTCGGGAATCGTCGCCAACACAGAATGTCTGTCTTCGTCTACATCCATCTCGACCGTTTTGTTTACTGTTGTGCTGCACCACAAAAGGGACGCTTGAGTTTGGCGTCATGGCTTCGCAGCTCTTCGCTGATTGGCCAGGGTTCTTGTAAACTGTCTAGTGTATTCTGATTCCTGACCTAGTCGCTGGAGAGAAATGAAATTGAGAGGAGGCATTGGATGGACCTAGACCTACCTGGAGTTGCGTTTTGTTTCATTCACACGTTCACACATTCATAACACGCAGACCCTGCATATTTTGGCTGATTTCTTCTCTCAAACTGTAAACACTCTGTTCCACCTTGTGATGATACAGGAAGTGCTCTATGATGATTTTATACATCTTCACTAGAATCATTTGGATGATTTGAACCCTGGAATTGCCAATCTCTACTGAACAGAAAGTAAAAACAAATAGCTTTTAACTTGAAAAGTACCACTTCATGACATCACAAGGTGGAATAGAGCATTTTGAGCTTTAAAGATGAAGACAGCCTAATAATAAAGGGTTACTCAAACATGTGTGAATGGAACAAAACACAACTCTGCTTATGTTTTTGATGAGATAACAACATCATAACATGGCTTAAAACTCACAAGAGTCAGTTTTGCGTAATATAAGACCTTTATAAATAAAAACATGACTGAAGTTTATATATGTACATCTATTTTGACATGTATTTCAGTTTACACCTCTTAGTGTCAAATAAAATGTGCCCTTTTGTCATCGTAACTACCATTGCCTTTCAATGCCACAGAATTTCAGACTAAAATGTCTTCAGAATCTCTGTGTTTGTTGAACCTGAAGCTTCTCCCATGACTCCAGGTCAAATGTTGAGTTCCCAGATGTTTTGTTTATTACAGTGACTTTTGTTCCACTGGCCCAAGGTTGAAAGTTACATAGGTCTATAATGTCATTTCATACTTTTTCATTTGCGGAGCTGAGTCCACTCTCTCAACTTTCACTGAAAACTGAAAATAAGAAACTTGTGTGGAGCGAGCGAGATCAATAATGTTTTTAAGTTATTGTTGTTTTAACCGAGAGACCAGAGCGTTAGAAAATCAAGTTGGTTAATAATAGACAAGTCGTAATATTTAAATCATTACTCCTCTTAAAAAGTAAAAGAATGAACAAATAGTGGCTGTAGTACTATCTATACTACTACCACTTGCCATTGGACCATAAATTGAAAGGTCTGGGGAGTCTGCTACTTTGTCTAGAATGTTCCACAGTATAGATTAAACCCATCGATCACGAGGAAGAGAAGCAGGTTACATTACAGTCCAGATCTGTGGAGAGTCGCCTCTACTCACAGAAGGAATTATTGTGTTTTTGAGCAAAGCAAAAACGCGTATGAATAAATACCAGATGGAAATGTCAAACCATACCATGGAACATTCCAAGGCAGAGTAATGGCATCTCCATGGAGACATGAAGGTAGCAGGCCCTCCACCACAAAAGCTGCCCAGTGCATTATTATTAAAAAGATAAAGACACTGTTTGACAATGGTTAGTATAAATAAAATTGTAAAAAGAGACAAAAGAGCATAACATTGTGGATTCTCATGTCAGTCATAGTCTGAGGGTCTGTTTTTTTTTTTTTGCTTTATGGTCATTCGCAAACACTAATTTCTTTATTTTGGCTAAACAAATGATAATCTATGCTCCTCTTTAGTGTTGGCAGGGATCAGATTAGTCAAAAATTGTGTTAGTCCTGGTTTAGACCTGGTGACCCTCTGGAACCATCTAGACCAAATCGTGGTCAGATGGGTCGCAAGGTCACTGCATGTAGGTCTGCAATAAACATACATACATCTCTGCGTACCACCCCTTGCTCCTCACTTTTTCCAGTAGCAATGCCTTGCCTGTCAGTTTTCTGTGGGAAACAATGATTATTGTTTTTCCTTGTTTAAAACTTGAGTATTGTATTTTTCAAACTATAAGGCACACTTAAAATCCCTTAATTTTCAGAAAAATCAACAGTGCGCCTTATGTATTCATTCTGTCTGGTTGCGCTTACTGACCTCAAACCAATTTTCACATATTCCACTGAGTCGTGTCCTTTAGTCCGACAGAAGCTGAACCGCATCAGGGCACAAGGAGCGAGCTGTTTTTTAAAGCACTTACAGTTTATGCAAATAAGTCATGTGGTTTTAAGTTTCATTTCTTTCAAACGTAAACAAATGTGCACAAAGCTACATTAAACACATTATTACTCAATGTATATTTGATTCCTCCTCATAGAAAATAAAATAGTCTCAAGTGTCGTCCGTTTGATTCTCTTAATGTGCCTTATAATCCGGTGCACCTTATGTATGAAAATAGATGAGAGAATTCAACATAATTGATATTGCACCTTATAGTCTGAAAAATACGGTAATACTGGTAATGGTAATTGTTCAGAGAGACACGATCACTCAGTCAACAATAAATTAATTAATGGTCAATAATGGTCACACATTTATTTTGTGATTTACGAATAATGTCTGTTGACTTGCGTTGTGAAGATTTGTGACTTTTAAAATATGGATCCCCAGAAAAAAAGTTTGGGAAACACTGACTTAGCCGACCCTCCATCAAAAACGTTGCACATTGCACCTTTAACAAATCTCACTTCCAGCTCCCTCGGCGATGATACATATGTGTACAGACTTAACGCAGAGCTAACATCACTAACTCCCCACTAACAGTTATTAGTTGCGATTCCGCTGATGCACAGGAGAATAAGACGGGCCCGATGGTGCTGTCTCCTCTCTGAGTGTGTGGGTGCCTCTAACAAGCAAAGTTATGTCAGGCAGATCCGGAGAGTCTCGGAGTGGCCTTGAAGCCGAAAATTATCAGCTCTACAAGATAAACGCTTTACATCGGGGAAGAGCGCGTAAATTTACTCAGGAATGACACTTTTGTACTTTTCTGTTACAGAGTCTTCCTGCGGGCCATTAATCAGTATGCGGCGGTGCTCAGCAAAAAGTTCCTGGATCAGACGAGCTTTGAGTTACAGGTAAGTGGGGTTAATTTCAAAATATGTTTGAAGTAAAAGAGATTAAAAGTTCAGTGTGTAACTTTTCTAGCGGTGTTTATCTCATCTGCTTGTCTCCATGTGCTTTACTTGAAATATCACTATGCCATTAAACCATGGACTCTATAAAGAGGTGGAAAAAGTGAGTGTGGCTTCACCCGAACAGTCAAATGAAGCTCACTGAGGCAGGAAGTTATGGGGTGAATTTGGAGCTCTGTTGTTCTGTTTTAAGAATAGGAATTTATGTACAGACAAAATAACAACACCAGGATCATGTAGAGCGGGTCTGTCAAACACTTTTTTTTTTCCATGGAGATATTATTGCTTTGTGTGGAATGTTTCACAGTATGGCGTTAAACCTTTCTATCGTCACGGAGACCAAACCAGACCAAGTTACAGGCCAAATTAGGGCTGTCGCAATAACTGCAAAAATGATGTTGGGCCACCGCAATCACCGCACGTGACCAACGTGACCAACGTGACCGGACCCAGAGTCCTGCACGGGTCCATTTTTAGAGACCTGCACCCTCTCGGACGCGTTAACATTCCACTCATTACCGCCGGTGCCCATGATAACCCAGGACTAACCCAGGATTAAGGTGCGCCCGCATAGACCGTCGGGTGACCCCAGGCAAAAGGACCAGCACAGAGCTCTGCGCCGCACGGAGTTAAGTGCAGCTATGGCCCGATCGTACTTTGCGGACACCTGCTTCATGTGCTCGTGCTAGGGGCTCTCTCTCAAGTCCGCGGGTGCCCGAGCTGGTGCAGGACTCTGACCTGAACTGCCACAGTTAGAGCTGGAGAGGTACAGCGGCACTTGTTCCAAAGCCAAAAGTTACTTCTCCCACGTTACACACGCTATATCCACAGGACAACCAAAGTACATGTGCATCTGTGCAACCAGCACTTCATCGCAGAGAGTTTTCAGAGCCGCTAAAATATTATAACTCCGGGGGGTTGGGGGAATTTCACCTCAAGAGAAATTCCCTAAACGCAACAGCCCGAGATCAAATCTGTGGAGGCGACCCCGCTCACAATCAGAATGTTGTTTTTCTAGGTATTTTTGAGCTATAAAACCACCTGTAATTGAATAAATGTAAGGTAGAGCTGTTTAATGTCACACTGTGGAACATTCCGGGCAGAGCAATGACATTTCCATCGACAAAAGCAGGTGACGACCCCGTTCACACTCTCAAAAAGTTATCAGGGTTTTATTTTAGATCATAATTAACGTGTGAAACTGGGATCTGACCTAAGATTTTTAAACTCGCGTGCGTCTCTTGGGACTGGCGTTTGGCATTTCGTACCTATGGGTGGCATCCTTTGCTTGTTTCCATGGCGACGGATAAAGTTGAAGGCCATGCTCCTAAACATTATTATTTGGATGAAGCGATGTCTGTCTGATAATCTCCACAACAACACGAGACAACAAACATTATTCTTTCATGACGGCACTTGCATTTCTATCGATTTAGTCTGGACGATTAGAATTTTGAGAAGATTTAGGACTGATTGACGTTTTTCTTACTTCTATAAGCAGTTTCCTAACTTGTAACATCCCGAACTAAGTCTCGGGAACATCCGAATCCACAACAGAAATTGCAGACATAAAAAACTGTATAAAAAGAACTACAATTACGCCATAATGGACTGCAATTTCCCGAGCATTTGAGAGTACTTTAACCTTCTGCACCAGCTTTTCTTCAAGTGTGACATACAGCTGTGATTATGTCAGAAATAAACTTCTCCAAAGCTTTTAAGTCTTTTATGCATAAATTTGAAACATTTTAGAAGAGCTTTCACCTGAACATGTCCTAGATTTTTTGTTTTTTATTTATTTTGAAATGCCTTGGACAGTCAAGATCAGTAAATTTAAGCTTTTTGCAAAAAACATTCACACTCGTTTTCCCAAATTTGACATTTTTTTTAGGTTTAAAATTTGACTTTCTGGTTGGAAATTGTGATACATTAGGGAATTCTGTAAATGTTACCTGGCAACACTCCTCTAATGTACTCAGAAATGATTATCTCACAAATACAAAGTAAAGTTAATAAGTATATAATAAGTAAACACCTATATTTTGTTGAAATAATGACGAAAGTATCCGAAAAAATGTGGTTCAAAGACTGCTTACTATTTTGCTTTATTGCTTTATATATAAAAAACAAAATAGAAATATAAAAAGAAAAAGAAAAAATTGTGTTTCTTACTTGGAGAAATGTCCCATACTTTTGGATAGAATTCTCCCAATGTGATGTTTTTAACTATTTCCTGTAATTTTCCACATATTTTTTCTACTTTTCTTCACAAATTGCTTCTTGATTGGTGTGAAATTATTATTATTTATATTATAATTATAATAGTTATAATCCTACCAAAATAACTCAGAATTAGAAAATTATATATAAAAAAAATCTGTCATACACACTTTAAAGGTGCATTGTGTAACTTTTCTGGTGACGTCACCTGTTTGTTTCTATGGATATGTCATTACTGTGCCTGGAATGTTCCATAGTATGACATTAAACAGCTCTACTTTGCATTTACTCAATTACAGGTGGTTTTCTCCATAAACAAGAAAATATCCAGTCTTATTCTCCATAAAAGTCTGTAGTTTAGAAAGATTCTTGCACTAATTTGCCAGTTCATATTTCAAACTTTTTGTCAGTTCTTCAGGACAAACATGAACTTTGAAGAGAATTCTCTAATTAAAACATGAATCACAAATCTAATACCAATGGCAAAGCTTGTTTAAAGCTGCATCGTGCAACTTTTATGCCTTGAATGTTCCACAGTGTGACATTAAACAGCTCTGCTTTACATTTATTCTGTTACAAGTGGTTTTATAGCTCAAAAATACCTGGAAAAAACAGCATTCTGACTGTGAGCGGGGTCGCCTCTCCACAGATCTGACCTGTAACTTGGTCTGGTTTTGGTCTCCATGAAGATAGAAAGGTTTAATGCCATACTGTGAAACATTCCAGACAAAGCAATAACCTCTCCATGGAGAAAAGCATTTGACGGACCATCCACCAAAAAAGTTACACAATGCACCTTTAAGCAATTTGTGAGTGAAGTTATCTGTACAAAAGGCCACTAAGATACCACTAAAATTGTAGAGAGTAAGAAGTTGCCGATACCTCGATACAAAGGCCACGATACGATACATATCTCGATACAGAGCACTTTCGGTTCGATACGATATATTTCAAATCGATTCAATACGGTTCAATAAAAAATAAAGACTAAATCATGGCTGTGACACAAAAAGTCTTTGTTGAAACCACTTCTTGTGTAAAGTGAATAAGAAATAAACCCATTTTATTCATCAAAACAGTGAAAATGTCAAATGTGTTGCATGAATGAGTTTCTTCCCTCAACAAAAACTGTAGCTCTGTAACAAAATAATCCAGTCAAATATACCAAAAAATACTCTTGGCAATATATCGATACAGCAGCCCACGATATCGATACTATATCATCACATTAAACGATACGATAGAGAGAGAAATGAAGTAACAGCAAGGTAAAACAAAATACTCCATAAATCGTGTTCATTTTGCCCTATGAAGTTACAGTGACAGCGCTAGACACTTTTAGGTGAATTTAACCGTTATGTTCTTATCAGTTGTCAAAATCCTAATTGCTTTTCCTGTCACTCAAAAGGGAATATTGTTTAAAATGCGTGGCTATTCATTATGATAATTTATCACAGCTAGAATATGTGTGTTTTCCAAGGTATTTTTGTGCCATAAAGAAACCTGCAGAAATGAATGTAAGATCGATAAGTTTAATGCCGTACCGAGGTCTGTTCATGGCCGTGCAGTAAAATCTCCATGGAGACAAGTTGGGGACGCACACTACACGAGAAAAGTTATATAATTTATCTTTTAAGCATGACAAAACTGGATTAGGATAGAATGCAGGATAAAAAATAAAGCAGGGAGGAACCTTGATGTATTGTCATATAACATGTATTGCAAAAGTTGATATAAAGTAAGAGATACAAGGTTCGCACGGTCATGGAAATCCTGGAAAAGTCATGGAATTTTAGAATCTCTTTCACACAATTACATCATTCTGTTAAGTTATTATTAGGCTATTATGATTTTTTCTGAACGTCTGCGCCTTTTGTTTAAAAAAGACGATAATAAAAACCAAACCATAAGGTGAGTGGAAAGGGTTAACATTTCATATTTAGATGCAAAAGTCTGATCAATTCTACACAAGTAGGTGCTTTAAAGTCAGGGAAAATTCACTTTAGGTCATGAAAAAGTCATGGAAAAGTTTAGAAATTTTGTCACTGGAAAAAAAAGTAGGAACCCCGGAGATAGAGACATTATTATGACACTTAAACTTTTAAAAAAAAAGGTTTTCAGTGATGACATTTTCAACTTACAGGTGAACTATAACTTCTTGTTTCCATGGAAATATTACTCCTTTGCCCAAAAGTGCTAAAATCTGTCTCTGCCACGTGGCCTAAGTTACAAGCCAGATCTGTGGAGAGTTGATAAAAATGCATGTTTTTCAAGTACCGTAAATTCCGGACTATAAGCCGCTACTGTTTTGGTCACACTTTGAACCCTGCGAACGAATAAAATGATGTGGCGAATAAATAGACGGATTATTTTTTTTGTTTGGCACATTGTCCATTCATATATACGGTCAAAACGCCGCTGTCTGTGCGATTTACACATGGATCTAGGGTTAACACGAAGTTCCTACACGAGCTAGTGATATTGTCAGTGGCACTCAAACAGTTTATCGCCGTGTGATAAAATAAATTATGCTGCTAAATTAACATTAGTGAGGGGGATACGTCTTACCTGTATGCGTAAATGATGAGAAGAAAAATCGATGGTGAGGTTTTGGTGACGAACTGACTCAATGCAAAAAGACGACAAAATCTTTCAGAGGCGATAAAAGCAGACGGCGCGAACTTAATAACGTTCTTGAAGACGTGGACACCTGCGGCTTATATTCAGGTGCGGCCTATATATGTACAATTTTAACATTTAGTTAACATTTTTTTGATGCGGCTTATATTCAGGTGTGCTCTATAGTCTGGATTTTACGGTAAACATCTTTAGTTGAATGAATGATCTCACTCAGAACATTTTATTTTATTTTTTTAGTTTAGTTTAGCTTTTAATTAAAACCTTTACCTTTCTTTTATTTATTTATTTTAACACTACATTTTTAGTATTACTATAACTAGGGATGTAACGATATCCAAATCTCTCAGTACGATATTATCACGATATTTATTGCGATATTTTGAAGAGGCTAATATAATTGTAGAAGGGACACTTTTTTGCTTTTAAAATACCTTGACAAGATTGTGGTGTGAATTATTTCCGTTATAATCCCAAGAATTCAAGTAAAAAACATATTTCTTCATGTTGTCTGCACTGAAATGAATCATGGGATATGTAGTTCCCTATGTTTATAAGCTGTTGCTACTATAAAAACCTGCATTTAAGCGAAGGAACTTGTAATTCGATATATTGTGACAGCCCACGATATTATTGTGAGACTTTACGATACAATATCACGATATTTCGGTTATTGTTACATCCTTAACTATAAACTTTAGGAGGTTTATGTTTCTTTCTGTTGTAGTAAATGTATGAAAAGGTGTCGAAAAAGTTACACAGTGGACTTTCAAGATGCATAAATTAAATATATATTTGCTTTATTTGATATTTATTATGTTAAAAATCTTAAATGTCACATCCCACCTTTAGCATTTCATGTTTTTCCAGCTGTATATCGTCTTACGTCTCTTGTTTATCCCCTTTTTGCTCACTCCAGTCTCCGTGTTTTTTCTTATTTCCTGTTTTTCCGGATCAGCTGTGGAACAACTACTTCCACCTCGCGGTCGCCTTCCTCACCCAGGACTCCCTTCAGCTGGAAAACTTCTCAAGCGATAAAAGAGCCAAGATCTTCCACAAGTGAGTACAAAAACCCACTTTGAACCCACATGACGTCCTCCCTGCACTCCCAGCCTGTGTTTTATAATTCAGTAACACGGCAAAGTCTCTCAAGGAATCTCCCATGGCTCGTGGAGAGGCAGTTTTGAACAAAGACATAACTTGGGGACAAAAGAATCGACTTTTTCTTTCAAATCATCAGTGTTGAGAAGTTGTGAATTCCCTTTTGAATTCAAGTCAAAACTCGAGCTAAAATGGTTGGTGGTTTACACGCTACAAAGATGTTTTTTTTCTTCACTCCCACATGGCTCGAGTTGAAATCCCAGTCCATTTAAACATTTATTTCTATTGATTTTTGGGTAAGACCTAAGTTCAGCTGGGGGAATTGTTGAGTGGTTTTGTACAACTGAAATCGACGAAATGGATAATGCGTAATAGGAAATTCAAGGGGCACACTCTGCTAATCTAGTCCTGATTCTTATTCTGATTGCACTGATGTTACTAAAGTTATTGTACAAAATATTCTGCTCAGGTGCAGTCCGAAGTAAAAATTTTAGTTGTTTTTTTTTTACATTATTTAAAGGTTCTATATCACGTAAAATGAGTCATGTTATAATGTTGTTAACTCCTCAAAAACAAACCTGGAGTCGTGTTTTGTTTCATCTCCAAAGCTCAAAATGCTCTATTCCACCTTGTGATGTCATGCAGCGGTACCTTTTACGTTTTGTTCAGTAGAGATTCCCAGTTCCAGGCCTGAAATTATCCAAATGATTCTAGTGAAGGTGTGTGGAGTTTAAAATCACAGTGGAGCACTTCCTCTATTACTGCATGACATCACAAGGTGGAACAGGGTGTTTTCAGTTCAGTTTCAGAGAAGAACTCATGCTAAATATGCTGAATTTGTGTGTTAAACGTGTGTAAATGAAACAAAACACAATCCTGTTAGTAGTTTTACTGTGAGTTTTTTTGTGTTTTGTCTTGTTTTTTTCAATTAGGTTTCCCTATTTTTGACCAGTTTGGTACTTTATAAATAAAGTTGGTATGGTAAAAATAGGGAGGCCTCATTAAAAAAAAAAAAAGACAAAACAATAAAATGGTAAAACTACTAGCAGAGGATTGGCTTTCAAATTTAAAAAAATCTGAAATGTCCAAGAAACCTGGAATATTTCTGATGTAAAACTGAGACAAATCAATGGTTTTGGAGAAATCTGTTGGGACAGGGTAGCCTGATTCAACAGCCGGTTTCACTTTAAGGAAACCATCTGACCTCACAGCATTTGGATTAATTTGCTCGACGGTAGGTGGGTACTTTTTTTAATTTAACCAATCGCTGCTATTTGGTCGTGATGTACGTAATGCACCAAATCCGTAGGAAGAAGGGCAATAACGTCTTTCCCCTTGATAAAATTCACCAAACATTCTCTTTGTTCTGGCTTTAAATCCTCGATCTCTGGAATCGTTGGCAACACAGAATGTCTGTCTTCATCTACATCCACCTCCACGGCTTTGTTTACTGTTGTGTTGTACCATAAAAGGGACCCAGACAGACGCGTGAGTTTGACGTCATGGCTTCACAGCTCTTCGCTGATTGGTCGTTGTGCGGTCTACAACTTCTGGGGTTCTTGCAAATCGTCTAGTGCAGGGGTCTCCAACCTGTAGCTCAGGAGCTACCAGTAGCTCTCCACCCCCTTCCAAATAGCTCGCCAAGGGATTTCTGAATTCTGTGTATTGTGCTAAATAAGTAAAATTTTATTATTTGTAACTGTGCATTAAAAATAGATAATGGTTTATGTTTATAGCCATCTTACTGGTTCTTATCTACACTCAATTTCTTTGCGACTGCTATAATTAGTACAGTAGCTCTTTGACATTTTGGTTTTGTAAAAGTAGCTCACTGGAGGAAAAAGGTTAGAGACTCCTAGGTCTAGTGTATTCTCGATTCCTGACCTAATTGCTGGAGAGAAATGAAACTGAGCAGAGGCACTAGGTGGGACCAGTCTGGCTACTGGGACAGAGGACTCAGGACTCAGAACTGGGACTGTCCCGTATAAATAGGCCTGTCTGGTAGAGGTAAGATCTTAAAATGTCAATCATTACTTCGGGTCGGGTCGGGCTCGGGCTTCAAATAAATATATGTTTATAAAATGTATGCTAAAACGATGTGTGGATACTAAACTAAGGAATACTTGTTATAAAATAAATAATATGGATAAAACAGAGAAGTAATGTAATGTAATTGCTATTTAACTACTAAACAGGATCCGCAGAGCCAGAGCTCTGCACACGTGAACGCCCCCTCTTAATTTAATAATCTTCCCCTCCGCAAGTCTGCATCTATTTTGACCTGGTGTCCCCAATATGGAGGAGCAAGAAGTTAAACTAAAGGCAGGAGAACTGAAAAGACAAACACGCACCGGTAAGAGTGAGGTGTGGAAAAGCTTCAAATTGATTGTTGAAAATGCTACAGAAACTTGCGTTGGCTTCGCTGAATGTCGTCAATGTGGCGCTTTGCTTTCATACGAGAGCAAAAAAGACTGGCACCTCGACGCTGAGCACTGCTCCTCCTCCCGAGTCCTCACAAATAAAATATATGACATTTCGGGTTTGCTTCGGGCTCGGGCCTGCAAATCAAGTTAATTGGTCGGGCTCGGGCCAGGTTGGGCTTTAATACCCGCGGGCCGGGTCGGGTCGGGCTGGATTTTTTAGTCCCGATCTCACCTCTACTGTCTGGTCACCTTACCAATATTTTAAATTCGTTTTCTCCTGGACAGTTCTTCTCTTGTTTGTCCATTGCTTTATTATCTTTCCCTGATAACCTCCCACACAGTGACAGAACACAGAGTCACTCCCTCCACACCATTTTTCCTCTTGTCATCCTCCCCTTTTCGTGAAAACTGCAAACAAAACACTGGCACGGCGAAAAGCTGATGTCTGCCCCGCGCTATTTCAAGCCTGCTTATTTGACATCCCCAAATACGCCATTCAAATGCACCCTGGCCGCATCCAAGCTCCAACACGGAACGTATCAAGGTCTCTTTCACCTTTCCTCCCCGCTTGTCTATTTCTGTTTTGCACACACCCACCTCTGACTTCAACCTTGCTCACTTTGCATCTGGCTTTTCCTTTGTACGAGAGTATGAACAGCGTGATTCCTGCCAGCAACGCCAATTATAGCGCCATAGCGGGGATCACGGGTGCGAAAGCCGAGTCGCGAGGGCATCAAAGCGCCTCGTGAGCCGGTTTATTTGTGGTGACGCAAATCTGGCAGCAATTGGCGATGTTATAGGCGAGCACAAGCGTTCTTATGACGTCTTTCTCGGCGGGGGTCTGAAAGTGCTGTCTCAAAAATGTGAGAAACTGAACAGAACTGGTTCATTTCAAACGATTTGCAGCGCTTCAGAGTTATTCCTCACTTAAATTATGCATTTGCCATCACAGGGAAACTAACGACAACCGGCATGCTGACCTCGCACTTCCTGATTATCGAGCAATAAAACGCGTATATTTACGTGCAGTATGCAGTGGGTTTATTTTAGTCTCAAAAGCTTAAAGGTGCACCGTGTAACTTTGTCTAATGCTTTTCTCCATGGAGATGTTATTGCTTTGTCTGGAATGTTCCACAGTATGGCATTAAACCTTTCTATCATCATGGAGAACAAACCAGACCAAGTTACAGGTCTGATCTGGGGAGAGGCGACCCCGCTCTCTGTCAGAATGCATGTAATTTTTAGGTATTTTATAGCTATAAAACCACCTCTAATTGAATAAATGTAATGTAGATCTGTTTGATGTCACACTGTGGAACATTCCAGGCAAACCAGTGACATTTGCTGGACATTAGGTGTGTTTTTTGACTCTCAGCTCCAATGAAGCTAGCATTAAAATTTGTCTGCTCAAGAATTAGTCAGCGTCTCAATTTTTTAAGACGGTTTAGGTTGCGTGGAGTGTGTGAAGAATCCCTCAGTCGTCCAGGTAGAAACCATGAGGAGAAAAATTCAGTTTGTCGACTGGACAAAAGTTAGTTTGGTCGAAGATGTTTCGCAGCTCATCCAAGGTGCTTCTTCAGATCTGAACTTCTTCAGTTCTAGAACTGAAGAAGCAGCTTGGATGAGCTGCGAAACGTCTTCGACCAAACTAACTTTTGTCCAGTCGACAAACTGAATTTTTCTCCTCGTTGTATGGAGTGGATACAAATGTAATGCTGATGTTTTGCACAGTATGCTCGGAATCATTTTTATGTTATGGCATGTCAACATGGTTTGGTAACCTGTCAGTCAAACTTAAATCACAGCTTTTTACCTTGACTAAAAGAGCGGGTAAAATAATGGGTACGGCCGCTCGCTCACTTCAGCTAATTTTTGTGAAGACTGTTAGGAAGCTCAGCAGGAAAGTGACCGGTGACCCAACCCATGTTCTTCACAGTCAGTTTGAGTTGATTCTTTTGTGCCATTAGCCTTTAATCTGCTAAACTCAGAGAGTGCAGTTAAAAAAATTAAAGTAAAAGGCTTAGGGAATGTGCGATTATTAATAGAATAGAAGATAGTGTAGGGTTTGCCTGTGAAGAGTGTCTTAAAGGTCCTGTTGGTGTGACACTCCTGGTCATACTTGGTCTCTTATTTATTTAGGTTCTATGGTGGATGTTTGTGTGGTGCTTTTATTGTTGTATTGTCCTGTCTTTTGATAAAGCATGTGATCCCCTGTCCCAAGACACATTTCTTCCATGGGAGACAGTAAAAGGATTATTTTATGTTATATCTATAGAAATAAGAAGTTGACAGACCCCCCCTAATTCAGACTCAGTTCATGTGTAATTCTTTCTGGTCAGTTTTAAAATTTCTTCATGAACACAGTATCTTTTCAGTTCTTTTCCATCTTAATTTCACTAGTTCTAATTAAAATGCAATACTTTTTTAGTAGATTGTGTTTTGTTTTTCTTTACATTTGGCGGTAAGATAATTCTACAGCCATAGTTACCCTTGAGCAACCTCACGCTGCAAGCTAAAACAAGTTTTCAAAGATTT